GGCGGGGACGCCCGTGGATTGGCCGGTGCGCTGTGATAGACAGCACGGCTGTCCCGCCCTCAAAGTGCGATTGCTGGTTGGGAGGCCTCTGCTGCGACGACCAGACGCGTGCATCCCGCCCTTGGGGGTAGTAGTGTGGCCTTTTTGGACCCCCTCGTTCGTAGAAGTCTCCCAGGCGTAAGAATCGCCATGACGGCGAGTAGAACTTCAGCCGCGCTGTCCGGAGGCGGGACATGAAGCCGCAGTGGCCTTCGTCTGTCTCTATGGGCTGCTGCGTGCCCCACCACGCTCTTGTTCCCAGCGCTGCAGGACTTGGGCACTACTTCTTGCACCCGCCGGCAGACACTCTCCTGAACTTTGGTTTTCCCCCGTGCTGTTTGCCTGTCCCTCTGTGGCCTTTCTTCGCAGCCTCTGGATTCAGTGTTGGGTCAGTCCCGAAGACCCTCTGACCTTTTTCATGGCTTCGCCTCTATGCAGACCTAGTGACTCTAAACCGGGCTTTTCCCTCAGCTCAGTGCCCGGGCAGACCCATTTCTGCTCCACATCCCCTCTTAACACAGCCTTCTCACCTGGCCTCCATGTCTCCTTGCACAGTCTTCACTTCTCAGAACATGGCTCTGAGCTTCAGGTTGCTGAGGCCTCGTGTCTCGTAAATAGCTTTGCTTCTCTCTGCCTCATCCCCAGGTGAATATGAGGCCTCATCACTCTCCCCAGGATCCCATCTGGTCTCGCTCAGACTATCCTCATTGATTTTGCCTGCATCTGGGCTTCCCGCTTTAATCTCTAAAATGCGACACAGCCGTGATGCCCCTGCCTATTGGCATGAATTTCCATTGCACGTAAAGCCCGGCCTTCCTACCTGACCCAGCAGGTCCTTTCTGACCTGCTCCGGACTTGTGTCTCCCTATTCATTTCACACCCTGACCCTTCACTCTCCAAAGGCTACGAGGCCTTTTTGCGGGTATTGACTAATTCATTCTCTTTTCCTTTCAGAAGCCGTCTCCCCTGAACGGCACCACCAAAACTGAGGACACGTATGACATCGTGGAGCCTGTGTAACAAGACATTCAGGCAATGCAGGACAACTTACTACATGTCAGAGGTGAGAGGGCCCACAGGGCATCCAGCTGGCAGAGAAAAGCCAAGGTTTTGGGGGATTTGTGAGACTAGAACTTGTGAGTGTGTAAGAGCATGTCAGGCAACCCACCCAGTTGGACAGGGACTAGTGCAAGTGCGTGGGGTTACCTGCGACTTTGTCTTGCTATAGTGGTGCTTTGTGGATGTGGACGTTTTGATTCTCTCAAGTGAGCCCCTAAGTAGTTCATGCACTTTATCCTAAGGGGAGGTAGGGTAGCTGAGAGGGACTGCCACTTAGTGACAGGCCTATAAAGTGGGTGGAGGGAAACTAATTTGAACCAGTGCTACACAGGTGCGCATGTGGTCACACCTGACCCCCATAGTAACTCTAATCAAGGATGATGATCCCGTTTCCTGATGGGGAAACAGATTCACAGTTCTACAACTTGCCCCAAGGCCACATTACTAAGTGGATTTGTTTGTTTTGTTTTTTGAAGCGTCTTGCTATGTAGTTTAAGCTGGCCTCGAACTCACAGTTACACTCCTGCCTCAGCCTCCCGAGTGCTGGGATAACAGGCCTGTACCATCACACCTTGCACTAACAAGTGGATATTTGAGCCTGCATCTGTCTGACTCCATGCATTTTTGTCTCCTAGGAGAGCCACTGGCTTGGAGAGGTCCTGATAGGCATGGAAGATAGCTGACCAAACAGTACAGAAGAGGGGAGGCAAGCCCATGGCTGGCTCTAGACACAGGAAACCCAGCAGAACATGGGTGCTCACAGAGTATGGCTTGTACTGGTTTAAAGTGGTGCTATTTCCTGTCTGCAGCCTATTATGTAAAGCCAACTGTGATGAGGACTAGAAGGAAAAAGGACTATGCAATAAAATGTAGTAGGAGACCTCCTTCAGGTGAAGTAGACATGGAATATCTCTTTAACTCCTTAGGACCCAGCAGAAGCCCAAAGGATGGGAGTAATGGCCAGGTAAATTTGTAAGGGTAGGGTGGAGGAAAATACTTTCCAGGCAGGGGTAATAGCAAGTACAAAGGCCTTGAGGCCAGAAAAAGGTTGTTCAGCTTAGGGATAGAAAAGGCTGGTATTTATCCAGTGAGGGGAAGGCCAGGACAGGTGGTGAGGTCACAAAAGCTAGTAGGGCTCAGTGGGGCTCTCCCTGCCTGCCCGATCTCTAGTTTTCCTGGAGGACTCCTCCTAAATGCTGCAGCCCTTGTTGAGCTTTCTGTGCCAACTCCAGTAGGCTGCAGTGCACTTCTAAAATCTGTTTCTCTTATTTTCTGGGGACTTCCGGATGTATAGCCCAAACTTCTTGTATTTACTCTTGCTTCTGGGGCCAGACCTCCAGGTGCTCTAGAGATCCCTGCAAATGGCAGCTTGAACTTTCAGACTGTTTCCAGGCCTGTAATCAGGAAGTGAGGCCCATTTCCTCTCAGGACTTCTGGGCACCATCCCAAGGCTCAGGTACCTCCTGCCACTGAAAGAGGTTCAGGAAAGAGAGGGCACACAGAGTGCAGCTAGTGTGGGCTTTCCCCACTCAGCATATATATATGTGTGTAGGTGTTGCTGTCAGTTTGCGCAGCTGTGCTGTCTGCGAGGAGCAGCTCAGCACCCACATGAGGCCTATGCCAGTGACATCACCAGGCCAGCCCTGCGTGGGCCTATTTCTGTGAGCACTCATGTGTTAGCATGCAATACCACGTCTGTGCCTGGAGTCTGCCGAGAGACCCAGCCCAATGCTTTGGGTCTATGGGCTGGGCCTTACAAATGTTTAATAACCACTTAGAGCAGCCGTTGGCATATTGTAAACACTGTATAACTTGCTTTATCCACAGTGGCTCATTTCTTCCTCATTACAGCTGTACAAGATAAGTATTCTTATTATCTCTATTGAACAGAAGAAAAAACTAAGGCCCACAGGTGAAGGAACATGCCCATGGCCACAAAAGCTAATAGGTGGCAGCCTGGCTCGAGAGTCAGTGCTGTGTTGGCTCCCATCTACATGTATCATTAACTCCTTTTCCAAAACACTCCTACCCGATGTTGTCTGTTTTTAGTTACTTTGTTCAGTGTTGCCAAGGTTGGGTTCTTTCGGAAGCAGAGTCTGGCAGGTTAGCGTGTTGTGCTTATCAGGGATCAGCACTACAAAGAGGACAGGAAGAGAACAGTGGGCATCTGGAGGAATTAGGCTGTGATGCAGGACCAACGACAGCCTTAGCCAAAGTCTAAGGAGCTGTGTTGTCGGGCACTGGCCTGAAACAGATGTGGATTATTCTGGGAAGAGCTCAGCCTTGACCACACAGCTCTTTGTAGCTGAGGTGATCCTGGGCTGGCAGCTGAAGGTTTTCCACTGACAGCTCTCCCAACAGTTGGGCACCAAATCCTCCCTTAAAGGGGGATTTGGGTGGCACCACAAATGCATTATTTTCCAACCCTTTAAAAGTTTAGATTTGGGGCTGGAGATTTATCTCAGCGGCACAGCGCCTGCCTGGCAAGCACAAGGTCGTGAGTTCAATTCCCGATACCGGAAAAAAAAAAAAAAAAAAAAACAAAAAAAAAAGTTTAGATTACTTAAAGAACAAAAATACTGTATTGTACAAATGGGGCATGAGATTATGAAAAGAGGAATATGCTGCAGTTAATACAGGTTAATGTAGTTACTGTGATTGAGAATCAAATGTGGCTGAGCTTCCTGGTAGCCAAAGCAGTAACAGTTTCTATTCTGGTAACTTGATTTCTTAGGGAAGATACTTTTCTGGGGCTTAACTTTTAAGAGAAGTTTCTCATGTGGGTACTTATTTGACTTAAACAATGGAGAATGTTTTCAACAGATTAATAGCGAACGTTATCTCAGTTTTCATTTATTCTTTATGATCTTTGCCATTTGAGATTGGATCTCACTGTAATCCTGCTTCAGCCTTCTGAGACCTTGTAATAGTCTTGAGTAAAGAAGGCATAATTTGAAAGCATAATTCAGTGAAATGTCTCCTACAAAAGGTCATACTTATAGATAGGCAGTGTCTAATTTGATCCATGCCTAAACCCTGTTTTCGTTAAACAGTCCTTTTAAAAGTCAGTTTCTTGTGTTCCATGTCTGAGGGACAGGACTTCGTAAGTATTCACTTTTGTGCACCTGAGATCCATTCCAACCTGCAGTCTAGGTTCTTGACCTCTGGCCCCCAAATCTATGGCTCCAAGTGAGTTGTTGCGCCTCACACTTGAGTCACGTCCTTCAGCTTTCCTCCTCACCTGTGATATATTCTGTTCAAGAGGCTGTTTTCTTACTCGAGGCAAAACTTAACCTGGCCCCACACACAGCTTCCAGGGATTCTGCTCTCCCCATAGGCCCTGCTACTTCCCTGCTGACCACCCTGTTGAGGCCGTCCAACAGGGGGAGAGCAGACTAGTGTGTGTTTCCCTGAAGTCAAGCACGGCACTAAAGGACAGGAAGGGGAAACTAAGGCCAGGGTGGACCTGCTTTTGCTTCTCCTTCCAGCAAACATTCCTCATGGCACATCTAGATCACTGGACCAACTTCCCATTTCAGGAGTGGATACAGAAATGCCAATAGTCCTTGCTGACTCTGTGTGCTAAGGCCCCTGGGAGCACTGAGAAGCGACACATGGCTTTAGCTAGAGCTGTTGGTGCCTCTGGGGATACAGCAAAGCGAGATCCATAAATGCCTTAACAACCCCTTCCAGAAGGCCAACACTCACTTTTGCAATAAGGGCAGGCCAAGGTGTTCTGTGGAGTGTTTTGCAACTAAAATGCCAACATTATTAGAAATGAATGATTAAAATATTCAGATATGCTCACTTGGTAATACACATGCACTTATATTATTTAAAACAATTTATTTAAAAAACAATTTATTAATTCATGAATATTGATTTTTCACATTTCCTGTAATTCAACTCTTCATGAATTGTTCATTTCTATGTACTTTTCACAAGAGACACTTTTTGAATTATCTAGTATTGTCTCAAAGTCATCACCTTCACTGCTTTCAAAATTGAGTGAGCAGTTTCAAAAAAAAATCAACTTTATTAGTAACTTACATACAAAATCCATCAATTTTTATAAAGTTTGATGAGCCTTTTTTCCCCATCTGACAGTGCTGGGGTCCCACTTCAGCTCAATCATGGAGCTACATCCTAACACTTCATAAAAGAAGTGTTAAGACACGGTCTTACTAAATTAAATTGCCCAGTCTGGCCTTAGACCTTGGTCCTCCTGCCTCTACCACCAGAGCAGCTGAAGTTACAGGATTGAGCTGCTGCTGCAGCTGAATTTCATGTGCTTTGACAGATGTATCCCTTTTTGTGACCTCTACCCAATCAGGATGCAGAACATTTCCATCACCCTAGGGTGTTTTTTTCCCCTTCCTTTTAGTACTGGAGGTTGAACCCAGGGTCTTCACTCACCCGCATCCCCAGCCCTTTTTATATTTTGAGACAGGGAGGGTCTCACTAAATTCCCTAGTTGGGAATCAAACTTTTGATCCCCCTCCTTCAGCCTCCCAGAATCTTGGGACTATAGCCCTGTGTTACCACACTGGGATAACATCCCAGGTTTTTTGGTGCTCCTCTGCAGTTATTTTTCCCAACTCCTGTCCAGCAACCACCAGTTTACTTGCTACTACAGGTGAGTTTTGCCTATTCTGAAATTTCATATAAATGGAATCACAGCATACGCACCTGTGTCTGAGTATGTTCAGCATCACATTTTTGAGATTCATCCACGATGTGGCAGAAATGCTACATGATGTTATCAGTGGAAATTTCAATCTACGCATAATTACTTTTTTAACATTAAAATAGGTTTTTCCCCATTTCTCTTGCAGATCTATATTAAACAGCTTCATAATAATCACTGTCATTAAAAATTTTATAGACAATCTCAAAAGTGTACAAATGTAGACAGAATGGTAAGTACAGTAAACTTCATCATCCAGCTTCAGCAATGTGTTTTCATTGTTTTTGCAGTGCTGGGGATCAGACCAAAGGCCTCAGGCATAGCAGGCAAGCACTCTGCCACTGAGCCACCTGCCCCACCCCAGCCTCAGTAATTAGGAACCTATGGCCACTCTTGTTTCATGCCAGACTCTACTCACTAAATCCTGTATTGACACAAATCTCAACTGTCATATTATGCATAAATATTTCAATGTTTTCCCAAAAGATTCCCTTAAAAATATATACATTAAGTACAGCCTTTAAAACAAGTTAACAGTCATATTTAGTGAACTTTAAGATGCTTGTTTTACACTGAGTGCTCAGGATTGTGGAAATAATTACCATGTTAAATTTCTTTGCATCCTTGTTTTCAGATTTTGTCAGTAGACTACTTATACACATCCAAACTAGCTTAACGGAAGTCATTTCAGGGTAATATGCTTTCTCCAAAAAGTGCTTTTGGTTCTTAACAAGTTGAGTGTGTCCTTGTATGAAGGAATTTGCAAGGACTGAAGTATAAAAAAACTTCCTTCAGAAGAAAATTTTAAAAATTATTCTCCAGTAGGGGAAATGCCTATAGTGTGTGTAGGATTAGGAAGTGATTTCAGAGTTGGTAATTTACTGGGTATGGGAATGAGAGAGGGGAGACAAGGACGGGGCTGCCTGGTTCACAGGCTGGGGACTGAATGGATGCAGTGCTTTTCACTCTGCCCCAACAGGCTCAGAGTCATAGGTCCTGAGTTCTGTTCTGGAAATGCTGAGGTTATGGTCCCTGTGGACAAGGCCTGCAGAACTGTAGCTGGCAGTGAGTGTCTGGAGCTCAGGAGGGCCTGGGCAGATACAGGGACGGAGTCTGCACCCGTAGCTGTGACAGGAATCGGCCAGGACAAGTAAGACCATGGCACCTAAGGATTTCATAGTAAGAGGTGACTC